CATTTTTGATTAGTAATATGCATTGCTAAGAACTTCAGTTGGACAACTTTAAAGGCGATTTTCTCAATATTTAGATTTTTTTTGCACCCTCAGATTCCAGATTTTCAAATAAATAGTTGTAGGCCAAATATTATCCTATCCTAACAAACCACACATCAATGGAACGTTTATTTATTCAACTTTCAGATGCTGTATAAATCTCAATTTCTAAAAATTGACACTTAAGACAGGTTTTGTGGTCCAGTGTCATATATATATATATATATATATATATAAACAAACAAAAATGTTCTTTTAGATAGCTGCCAAAGCAACATTTCTTATTTTTTATTTAATGTACTAAAATAAGTAAAATTGAAAAATTTATGAATTTATTAAAACTACTGTAGACATATTGAAAAACTATAACTAAAAAAGATAAAAACAAATTACCAAATCTTTGATTAAATTTAAAATGAAAATTGAAAGTACAAAAATAAAAAAATCTATATAATATATTTAATCAAAATATATATCAATGATATTAAAATAATATTAAAATATATGATATAAATAATATTAAATATTAAAATAATGCATAAAACATGTCATTTCAGACATACTGCACCTCATCACAGGTGTTTGGATCTCCTCCATCTCTCAGAAATTTCTCAACTGCTTCCATCTTTCCCTGAGCTGCTGCTTTTAAAAAGTCCCTGACACACACCAGAGATCAATTTAGATGCTTAAACACTCAAAAAAGCAAAAAGACTTATAATATTGTATAATAATACATGCAATATTCAAAGTCACATAATGACAGTAAAGATAAGAAAGGCAGATGGTTTCCCTCACCACAAGAATATCCAGCAGGTCTTTGGAAGCAGCTGTCTTATTCTTGATCTTCTTCTTTGTACACAGCCTCAGATCAGAGGAGATCTTCCTCACTCGTTCTTCTGCCTGCATTAAGAATTCCCTTCTCTTTATCACTGATTCAGTCTTCCTGCATACAGTACATGAAGTCTTCCTACAATAAAATTGGTTCACACCAATTTTATATAGCGACACTAAAAAATATAGCAACACTAAAAAATTGGTATCTATAGTTCCATGAAGAACTTTTATCATCCAAGAAACAATATATATATATATATATATATAAGTGGTACTAAAAAGGTTCTTTGGGGAACCAAAAATGGTTCTTCTATGGCATCACTAAATAGTAGTTAAGTTTTTTCTTAAATTTCTGCATTTTTTAGACCCTCAAGTAATTTTTTCTGATCTTTCTTTGTCTCATTTGGTTCAACTCCCCTTAGGAAAATGTTCAGAGGTTGCTCCTATAGATCTCTGTTATGCTTTGAGTATCGAGTTTATCTCATACTGGTCAAATGTTCATCTTTTCATTAAAAGTCCATATTTTGATCTCTCCTCGGATTGTTTACTCACCTGAATGTTTGCAACACTTTGATTGAGAGATTCATTCCCTCCTTCTACCGCCATTGAAGGTGCATCCACAACCAAAATCCCCAACTTTCGTGCCCGAGCTCGACGCTTCTAAACAATTCCAATAAAAGACAAATAAGCTTTCTCAGACAGGTATTTCTCAGACTTAATGGACATAAAATATACAGAAAATGACCAAAATAAGAAATAAATCTAATTAAAGACTTCTAAAAATCCTATACCTCCTCCCGTTTATCAAGGGCTGCTCTTTTATCAACCACAGCCGTCGCCCACAGTATGTTCTCGTCCATTATGGCAAACTAAAATATATAAAGCCAGTTAACCCAGAGTATTTGCAAGTCGCAAACTTTCACAAATAACAGCAGACCTGCCAGACTGAGATCTGAACTGGTCTTCTAGCTCACAGCAGGAATGTAAAGCCACGTCAGGCCCTGTGTGACAGCTGTGGACAGGAGCTGGATCGCACACAAACATGCGACCCGCTGCTGCCCATGAGCTCACTGTTCAGGCCGGTGCCATCCACCTCTGCAAGTCCATTTTTACAAGAATCACGGCTCAGTAAACACCCTGTTTTGGAGATTATGTTATTTATACGTGTTTCATTAGTGTCAAGTGATACCTAACCTCATAAATGCCTTCTAGTACAAAGAACGCCTGTTAACACACAATGTCCAATCACTGAACGGCATTCAGGAACATCCTGAGTGTTTGAGAGAAGGAAGGAAGGAAGAACAGAAGCACATGCTTGTGAAGGTGAGATCAAGATGACATTTTCAATAAAACCAGCATCATTTGACAAGTAAAACAAAACAAACTGTACCAATTCAGTAACAGCAAATAATAATGTGGAATACGTGACAATACTCGTAATGGTTTAATTTGTTTTTTGTTTTTTTATCAATATAGCCATGTTGTTCAAATGATCAGTCACTAAATGCTAAGAGTTGCCAGTACCGTTTTCAAGTTTAGCTCTTTTTTATTATTATTATTGAAATATTTATTGGGCAAGGAATAAAAGTGACATCATCTGTTCAAATATTTGTTTAAAACTAAAAGTAGCAATTGTGCTAAGATTACAGAATTTAGTAGTTGTAATTTTTTAAAACAATGTTTTTTTAAATAATGTATTAATTTAATAATCTGTTACTTTAATAATGTTAACTTTTTAAGCAGTAGCCGTTTTTGTTTGTTTGTTTGAAATATTATAAAGCATACAAAGAGCTACAGCTAAGAATACTAAAGTAATAATCAATGAAATCAAATGTTTTTTTGTTATGACAAAATATTATTCAAATATGTATAGCAGCCATGGTGTAAAAATAAATCCTGCTAGCAAAAATACTGAATAAAATCAAATACATCCTTTATTTTTGAACTTTCTATTAATCAAAGAATTCAGACAAAAAAATGTATCATGGTTTCGACAAAAATATTAAGCATCACATCTGTTTTCAACATAAACTATAATTTCACAATATTAGTTTTACTTTATTTTTGATCAAATAAGAGCTTAAGAGACTTCAAAAACATTTAAAAAATTCTCACTGACCCCAAACTTTTAAACTATACAGTATGTGTTTATGCCAATACATTAATTTAGTCAGATTAATTATATAAAAATACAACCTTCACCTGCACTCAAATACACTGAACAAAATTATAAACGCAACATTTTTGTTTTTGCCCCCATTTTTCATGAGCTGAACTCAAAGGCCTTCTATTGTGGCCAGCCTAAGGCACAACTGTGCAATAATCATGCTGTCTAATCAGCATCTTGATATGCCACACCTGTGAGGTGGATGGATTATCTCGGCAAAGGAGAAGTGCTCACTAACACAGATTTAGACAGATTTGTGAACAATAATTTGAGAGAAATAGGCCTTTTGTGTACATAGAAAAAGTCTTAGATCGTTGAGTTCAGCTCATGAAAAATGGGGACAAAAACAAAAGTGTTGCGTTTATATGTTACTATATAACACAAATATCTGGGTAACAAATTCCTTAAAAATACTGTGATAGAGCATGAAATCAATAAATAAAGTCAATAAAAATTATTTACTTAAGTTTATTTATTTATTTATTATTTTGGCTCTGGGCAATAGCTGTATAAAGGTCCTTTGAAACACTGCTGTTGAATGGTATCAAGCATATTCATAAACGGAAGTGGTAGACTAGATAAAGCACTGTGGTATACAAAGAGAAGCCTCTGAGACAGATAAATGATTAACTGTGAGGAGGGATCAGAACGAGACAAAACACTGCAGCGGATGAAAAGAACAAAAGCTCAGCTCATTTTCAATACAACACAGACATGTTTCTATCTCCACACCTGGGAGAAGAAGACAGCAGCTGAAATAAGAGGTAAGAAACACATATACGTAAATAAAGGCATAAAGCATTCAGATTAAATGTGCTGTGAATAAAGGTTGCAGAACACTGACACTAAAGAACAAGAAAGGAAACTATGATTCCTCGTTCAATTCATATTTCATAACTGACAGGCGTAGGTTGGGAACTGGCTTGAAAAATGGTGACTCTGAAACACTTGAGTGTTAATGATAATGACAAAGGCCGCGTTCCTCTGTTACCGGAAGCCAGCAGCTTGGAGAGCCCAACCACCCAACACAGCAGGGCAGAGTCCAGACAATTCTTCCATAGCCGGTGGGTTTGCCAGAGATAAGCACTGCGACACATGGAAACATGCTTGCCATTCACATGCTGCACTGGAGATTTCATGACCTGTACAGACACATTCCATTAAAACCGATAAAGCACAGAGCTTTTGAAACACAGTAAGAGTGTAAGCTTCATGAGACTGCTGTTTTATGATTTCAGGAGGAACAACTTCATTTTAAGCATTGCTCTGTTGTTGAGCTGTTATTCTGCAATTCTGGTTCCCGTGTATCTGCCAGCCCCAGAGCCCACCTGGACTAATGACAGTTCTGCTGAAACTCTGGTACTGTAATTCACAGATTGATTACATGAAACTAAAGGATTTTGAGTCCGTTTGAAGGACCTGCGACTTAACATCAAGGCGACTCAATATTCTACTTTGACTTTACCGCAGGATTGCGATGACTTGTAAACTGAGCTGTATACAGTACGTTTTAACTAAAATATTTTTTTAGTAGTAAACAAGTAAAGTTTATAACGTTTATTTACCCGTTTGGTTATTAAGGTGATTAGATAATCCATGTGGAGTTTACTTTTATTATGATCCCACCCCATTTTTTCTACAATTAAAAAATAATAATAAAATAAATAAATAAATAAAGCTCTTAATATTGTAAACATGTTAATTAATTTATTATTAACTAAAACACTATAGGGCTATAGAGGATTTATAGTATTGTAATAAATAACTTCATTAAATTACACAATAAATAAACATATAAATTATGATTTTTTTTCATAAAAAAATATACATTACTGTTCATAAGTTTGGGGGCAATAATATACAAATGGTTTTGAAAGAAAAATGCTCACCAATGTTGTATTTATTTCATATTTCAAAATAAAGCAAAAACAGTAAGACTGTGAAATTATAAAATATATTAAAATAAGTTTCAGTTAAAGTCATTTTCTGAACATTTCTAATTCTGTGATGGCAAAGCTGAATTTTCAGCAGCCATTGCTCCAGTTTTCAGTGTCACACGATCCTTCAAAAAATCATTCTAATATGCTGATTTGCTGTGCAAGAAACATTTATTAATATGATCAATGTTGTGCTGCTTAATTTATTTGTAAACCATAATACATATATTTTTGATGAATTCTTTGATGAATAGAAAGTTCAAAAGAACAGCATTTACTTGAAATACACATTTTGAAATACAAATACACATAAAAGCTTTTTTTAATCTTGGCCTCTTAAAAACTTTTAAAGTAGTGTATATGTAAATAAATCATGAAATGTGTCAACAAAAACAATTCATATTAACTTACTCATAATAATAATAATAATACTCCTCAATTATAAAGACACATGTTGTCAGATGTCTAAACCTGTCTCATTTGTACACACCTCAGGCTCTGCTGAATCAGTCAGCGGCTCTGCTGTCTCAGTCCTGCCGCAGCGGCTGGAGTGTGGAGAAGGTGAGGACGCTGCCTACACCTGCTGGGCTGCTGAAGATTCCCGTGTTCCTGGAGAACGGCACAGGAGACTGGGCACTGCCTCCTCCTCTGGGTCTGCAGGGTAGTGAGGAGATGGTGGCTCAGGCCCTGAAAGCCTTGCCTTATACTGCTGTACCCACTGGCCCAGAGACCTGCAGGAGATGCGTGGTGGTTGGAAGCGGTGGCATTTTACACAGCAAAAATCTTGGACCTCATATAGACCAGTAACATTATCATCAGGTTAGCTCATTAACAAACACTCATGGGTGCCAAAAATACAGTAAAACCATGAATATTCTGAAAAATTATTACAATTTAAATAACAATTTTCTATTTTAATATATATTTTTCTCATGTGATGGCAAAGCTGAAGTTTCTGCATCATTACTGCAGTCTTCAGTGTCACATGATCCTTCAGAAATTATAGTAATATGCAATGAATTATGCATATTACCTCTCCCAAACTAATTATATTGATGATAATATTTTACTCTTCATACCTACAGAGTGAACAATGCTCCAGTATTTGGATATGAAAGAGACGCTGGATCTAGGACTACCATTCGGCTCATTTATCCAGATGCATGGCTCACCTCTGTAGTAACCAAAGAGCCTTTGGTGAGTAATGTAGACTATTTTTGGGAAGGATATTCTCGTTCTAGAGAACATTTTGTTGGACAACAAACTGATGAGAAAAGATGTTGTGGTCTGTGTTCGTGAAACAGAGGAACTGTAAAATTAAAATGCTTTTGTCATCTTTTGGGAGTGCACTAGCATATAGAGTACCTTAAAGTTAACAGAAATGGCTAAAAATCCACAAAAGTAGGCTACAACTTTTAATTTATAAAATTTTCTCTGTCTGTGTCTCTTTGTAGAGTTGGTGGTCGAAATTGTGATTCTGGAAGAATGTAATAGACTCTATACCTCTTCAACCAGAAAATGTGCGCATCCTAAATCCTGAAATCATGTACAGAGCTGGACAGGTGCTGCAAACCTACGCAGAGCAACAGAAAAAGGTCAGAACTGAGATGATTTTTCAAATGTGCAAACTGAACATTTCTACTTCTGCTGTCTTTGAATTTAAAAGGTTGCTAAATAGATCATGTTGCTTCTAAAACCAATATATTGTTCTACCATTTAAAAGTTTGGGGTCAGATTATCCTCTTATGTTCACCAAGTATGAACTGTAATTTTGTGAAATATAATTAAAATTTTAATAATAATCTGTTTTCTATTTCAACATTTTAAAATATAATTCATTTCTGTAATGCAAAGCTGAACTTTAAACAGTCATTATTCCAGTCTTCGGTGTCACATGATCCTTCAGAAATCATTCTAATATGCTGATTTGCTGCTCAAGAAACATTATTATTATAAATGATGAAAACAGCCGTGTAATTTTGCCTTTTTTTCAGGATTCTTCTGCTGAACAGAAAGTTCAAAAGAACAGCATTTATTTGAAATAGAAATGTTTTGTAACTTTATAAATTCTTTACCGTCTTCACTTTTGATCAACTTAATGTTTCCTTGTAGAATAAGACTTGTTCTAAATGTTCTGCTGTTAGCATTGTTCATTTAATTCAGTTTTATATTTTGTTAGATGGTGCCGACGTTGGGTATAACGGCAGTGGTTCTGGCCCTGCAGGTGTGTGATGAGGTGAGTTTAGCTGGTTTTGGATATGACATGCAGCACCCTGGAGCTCTGCTGCATTATTACGGGTCTCCCCGCATGGACGCCATGAACACACAGGTGGTTCACGATGTCAGCGCTGAGACCATCTTACTGCGGGAGCTGGTTAAATCTGGAGCCATGCGAGACCTCATGGGTGCATTGTGATGACTACAGAAACCAGTGGCGTAGCCAGAATTGTATTTTTGGGTGGGCCTGGGCAAAAGTAAGCGGGCACTATAGCACAGGCTAACTAACGGACGGAGTCCAGTGGCGTAGCGCAAATCCGCGGACACCAACCGTGAACTCAAGGGTGGGTGAGGGGATAGGGGGTTATGTCGCAATATTGTAAATATTTGTTTTAAACCAGGAAAGCGAGCCAATTGATATCACACAAGCAACGTGCAAACTTTGTGCAAGAGTTAAACGGTGAACCTCTTAAAGGGGTCATATGATGCGATTTCAATTTTTCCTTTCTCTTTGGAGTGTTACAAGCTCTAGGTGCATAAAGAGGATCTGTAAAGTTGCAAAGAATAAAGTCTCAAATCCAAAGAGATATTCTTTATAAAAGTTAAGAGTTAACCACACCTACCTAAAACGGCTCGTTCTAACACACCCCCACATATCTACATCACTAT